CCGGGGCCTCCAGGAGGGCACAGTCCTGCTAACACCTTGCTTTTTATCTTTAGTGAGGCTCATGTTAGAGGTTTGACCTACAACTGTAAGATAATGCGTCTGTTGTTTTAAGTTGACCAGGTTTGTGATCATTTGTCCCGCAGCAATAAGGAGACTAACACACCTGGAAAAAGGGAATCATTATGGATCCCATTGTGCAGACCCAGAGGGGTGCACTTCCTGGCCCCGGGGTGGTGCTGGCCCCTGAGCTCCAAGCCGGAGGGCAGGGCTCTGTTTGCTTCCACCCCCGCCCCCCGCACCCCGCAGCCCTCCCCGCCTGCGCAGGACAGTGCTGGGGTGCAGGTGGCCGGTATTCTGCTGGCTGGCGGGCTGGCTGGGCGCCCCCTGCCCCTCACCCCCATGCCTCCAGCTCGCACGTCTTTGTGGCATGCCTGTGATGTGCCCGGCGCTGCAGTGACCCAGGCCGACAGTCCCTGCCCTCGGGGGGAGGGGGCGCTGACATTCTGTGCCAGGCTGTATTATTTTCACATGCCAGGCTCTGTTTTAAGAGTTTTACCTGCCTTATCTCATTAATCCTCATGACCCCCTCGGAGGCGGGCACTGTTATAATCCCCATCTTACGGATGTGGAACCAGATGCCGAGGGGACATGGCGTCAGCCTAATGTCAGCCCAGAGCTGAGATGAGGCAGAGCCGGGGCTGAGGCCAGTCAGCTTCCAGAACCGGGGTTTAACCTGCCGAGGTCTCCCACCCGGATCCGGTTTGGATCCTGCCCGCCCTACGCATGAGCTCCGTGACCCAGGACCCGTGGGTTGCCTTATCTGCTTAAGCCTCCGCTTCCTGTCTGTAAAGTGGGAAGATAGACTGGCTGCTGGAGCCGTGTGTGTGTGTGTGTGTGTGTGTGTGTGTGTGTGTGTGTGGTGGGGGCGGGGATGAAATGAGATGCAGGGATCGGATGCTCAGCCAGGCCAGCAAGCCGGCTCTTTGTCACTGTCCCCACAGGGTGATGGTCTGTCTGGGGCTGACCCCAGGGCATGAGGGACCCGTGCTGGCCAGTGGGCTGCTTAGCATTTCCAGAGATGCGTCTCCTTCCTTTTGCTTTCTTATAATAGGCATACATGTTTACTGTAGAAAAATTAGAAAGTACAGAAAATGACAGACTAAAGCGAGCTTTAATTCCACCACCGTGTGTTTCTGTCCAGCTTCTTTGCTACGCAGATATGCAAGTATTCATAATATTTTTTTTTTTTTATAGAACTGTGGTTTTATTGCACATGCTGTTTCGTGGCTCATTCTTTGTCCTAATTGCATATTGTGAGCGTTTTCCTGTGAGAGCCTGTATTCTTGTTCAGCACCCCACATGGCTCTTGATAAGTTATTGCTGGGGGGTACAGTGCCTGCCGTGATCTGACCCCCGAGCCCAGGGCCCTCCAGATGTCAGAGGGGTGCGTGCGGCACAGAACGTAAGGGGGGGGGGCCGTGTCAGCATCCGTGGCTGTGGAGGGTGTCCCTGGGGGCCTTGGCACTCTGTCCCCAGTGAGAGCTGTGCTATGGATAGCAAGTCAGGGGTTCTCTTTCCCCCCAGACTTCCCCCTGGCGTCTTCTCACCTCTCAGGGGGTGGCAGAGGACAGACAGACTGGGTCCCCGATCCCTTCTGTAGGAGAGGGACGGCCCGGCTGTGGCTGCAAAGAGGCACGTGCCTGCAGGTTGGTGGCATTGCTCTGGGACCCACAGCCCAGGACCCTGTAACTGGAGGAGGGACGGAGGGGAACGTGGGGAAGGGAGGTGGCACACTGGCAGGATTTATCAAGCGCCAGCCCCCCCTGCTAAGTGTTTTAAGTGCTCGCTTTGATTACTCCTTACCAGAACCCTGCCGGGGAGGTATCGTGGCCCCATCTCGCAGATAGGTTGTCTCGTTAATCCTTGCTACAGGAGGCAGAAACCGTTATTCGGCCCATTCCACAGTAGCTGTGGGACATGTCGACTGTCCTGGCCGCCCAGGACACGCCGAGAAGCCCGTGAGCCCGGTTCCCGACCCTGGCTGCCCAGGGGAAGCAGCGGACAGTTTAGAAACGCCAATGCCTGGCCTCCTCTGGACCACCAGCTCAGGACTGCTGGGCCGGGGCCCTGGCCGGTACCTGCTGGGGGCTTCCCGGGCAATCGCGAGGGCCACTGCTGTGAGTCATCTGACCAGATGATCTTTAAGGCCCTTCGAGCTTTAATGTGTTATATAAACTGGAAAGTGGCCAGTGCTGAAGAGAAATCTGGTAGCAGGGTTAATCTGGGCTTAATGTTTTTGTCATTCTTTTGTGTCTCTTGGATGTAGGGATGGTGGCAGTGGTGACTTTCTGGAGGGGTGATGCCCTGAGTAGGACCGTCCCGGGCAAGCCCTCTTGTCAAGGCCCGATAAGGCAGTCGGTATTCTGGTCCTTTCTATTCCCCATGGGGGGATTCTTTCCACCTTTGCGTTTTTCATACTTTGCCCTGGAAAAGGCCCTGGAATGCCCCGTGTGTGCACGTGGGGTGTATGTGTGTGTGCACAGGGCGCAAACCCAGCCTGCGGGAATCCTCGGGCCGTTAGGGTTTGGGTGGTGTTCCACACCGCGTAGCCCCTGGGGAAGGGACCCTGTGGAATCAGCTGTGCCTGGAGATTCACTGAGAAATGGGGGGCTAGACCAGCAGCTGCAGGGGTGAGGCCACTGACATCGTCTGGAGTGGAGCTTTGATCGAAAACAGGCCGGGGAGGGCACCCGTCGGCATCGATCGTGCCCCCTGTGTGCTGGGGCTGACGGAATGGGGCGGCCAGGACAGAGCAGGTCCCTGCTGTCCCAGGGCACTCACTTCCCTCTCATCTCCGGCTTTTCCCTGGATAGCGAGGAGATGGGCACAGAGGCTGCTTGGAGCTGCGTGGTGGCCTAAGTCCGGTGGAGAGTGCACACCGGCGTTGGGGGACCAAGGAGGCGTCCTTTCTTCTGTCTCCTGCCCCCTCGTTTCCATCGAGCCCCTTGTTCTCCGCTCCTGTCCGCTAACCGGGCTCCTTCCCCCTGCATTCTGGTGGCAGCGGGCTCACCTCGTGAGACTGGAGTCCTGTTAGCGGATGGCCTGTTTCTCAGGTGCAAGATAAGAGGCGTCGAAAGTGCCGGAAGCTCAGATAAGCGTGAGACAGTTGGCTTCTCGTTGACTTTTATGGCTCTTTGGTTATCTTGAAGCGTTGGGGAGGCCCCAAGGGAGGGTTTGCTCCCACGGAGAATTCTGGCCGGGCAGAAGCTGGGAGAGGCTGTCCTCTGGGTCACTGCAGAGCGGGTACCATCAGCCTCATTTCCTGCCACGTCCTCCGCTTCCCTGGCCCGGGAGGTACTTTCCCCTGCGAGGCTTCGCAGGCAGATTGCAGCTCAGCCTTGCTGACCAGGTGACTTGGGGGGAGGTTCCTTCTGAACCTCAGTTTCCTCATCTATAAAACGGTCGTGATGAGACATACACTTGTGCTCAAGGGGTCTCAAGCGTTCAACACAGCATGGGGTACGGCATAGGCACCAGCCAAGTGCAGGGCAGGGGGTGGGTGATTGTCTCCAGCCCAGCCTAGGAAGACCTGTACACCCAAAGGCACTGGCCTTTTCCCTCCCTTGGGGCTCCCAGTCACTCTGCTTGCCTGAGCCGGGGAGGCAGCAGGGGTGGGCACGAAGGTGATTTCTCTCTGCTGGAAGATCCCCACTCCCAAGCCCAGGGGCACAGACTAGCTTCTCCGGTAGTGGAGGTGGCTTAGACCTGCACTGTCCTGTACAGTGGCCATTAGCCACGTGTGGCTATTTAGAATGAAATGACGTAGAATGAAATAAAATGAAAACTTAAGTTCGCTGTGTTTCGGTGATGCTCAGCCCGGAGGCTCGTATTTCAGCCACTCCCGGCTTTTAGTACGTCATGTATTATTTCCAGAGCCCTCCTAAAGCTGCCTGACCTCACCCAAAAATACCCACTGCCTTTTGATGTCACCTTCAGAGTTCACCCAGGGCCTCCTCGGGTGTTCTCTGGCTGAATCGCAATGCAGCCTTGGGGCTGGCTGTTAGGATTTCTCTGGGACAGAGACTTGAACTTGCGTAGGCCCAGTGCTCTTTCTCTCCTTCCTTTAAACATTTTTTTCAAATGTTTTTATTTATTTTTGAGACAGAGAGAGACAGAGCATGAGCAGGGGAGGGGCAGAGAGAGAGAGGGAGACACAGAATCCGAAGCGGGCTCCGGGCTCCGAGCTGTCAGCACGGAGCCCGACGCGGGGCTCGAACCCGCGGACCGTGAGATCGTGACCTGAGCCGAAGTCGGACGCTCCACCGACTGAGCCACCCAGGCGCCCCGCTCTCCTTCCTTTTATTTTTTTTAAAAATTTTTTTCAACGTTTATTTATTTTTGGGACAGAGAGAGACAGAGCATGAATGGGGGAGGGGCAGAGAGAGAGAGAGGGAGACACAGAATCTGAAACAGGCTCCAGGTTCTGAGCCATCAGCCCAGAGCCCGACGCGGGGCTCGAACTCACGGACCGCGAGATCGTGACCTGGCTGAAGTTGGACGCTTAACCGACTGCGCCACCCAGGCGCCCCTCTCCTTCCTTTTAAAAAGTCTGCACACTCAAGCCAGGCTCAGTGGCGTTATGACACAGCAAATATGTGATGTAGTTGAATACCTAAATGCCGCTTATCTACTTCCAAGTGGTCTGGTTGAAAGATGATAAAACTTCGTAGGCAGATGGGCTGGGCTGTAGATCCCAGCTCCCGCGGATGCACTGAGCGACTTTGGGCGAGTGAAATGGAGTCTTTGCGAGTCTGCGTCTCCACGTGCGGAATGAGGATCACAGAGCCCGCCTCGCCTGCGTTCTTGCGAAGTGGAATCGGAAAATACAAAGCAAACCGGGAAGCACGCAACAGGTGCTTCATAATGGTCACCGCCTGCTGTGGTCAACATATCGAAGCAGAGAGAGTCTGTGGTTGGGCCACTTTTGAGCCAAATCACCAAGCTGGCGTGGACGGGGGCTGGAACGGGTTTGGTGCCGTCCGAGCACCTGCAAGATGTCTCTGGGTTGAGGAGGTGGGGGGCGCAGGGAAGGGAAGGTGTCAGGGAAGGGAAGGTGGCTCCCGTCAGCCCAGCACCCCGTCCTGGTCTAGCCCAGCCCTGTCCCTCGCTGGCCCGTGGAAAGTGCTACCCTGGACTGAAATATGCCATCTTCTTCACCCCGGGGTGACACTGCTGACTTCTGGCCGTAAAACGTGAGCCAAGATTTGCTTCTCCAGGGCTGCCCGTCACCTAGACCTGCACTGTCCTGTACGCGGCCACCAGCCACGGGTGGCTGTTTAAAATTAAATTACTTGCCGTGAAACAGAACTAAAAATGAAGTCCCTTAGTCCCCTTAGCTCCAGTAATGAAGTTCCACTCATCACATTCCAAGCACCCGGCAGCGTGGCTCGCCGGACGGCACAGACGGAACATTAACAGCATCACAGCCGTCCGTGCTCTCATACCTGAGCCGCAGGTGTAGGAGCCCACGCCGGGGCCAGGCAAGCTGGCTCCACGTCTGGCTCTGCCACTCGGGCAGTGTGACCGTGGCCAGGTTTCCCCCGTGGGCCCAGCGCCCACAGATGGATGCAGGATTCACCTCTTGGCTGCTCCTGGGAGGTGCTCCCTCCCCCTCTTCCTTCTCCTCCCCCCCACCCCTTCTGCTGCCTCCTCCCTCCCCTCCTCCTCCCAGGGCTCTTGTGCGGGGACATTCCAGTCAATTCTTGGCAACCGTGGCTACTGTCTTGGACCGTTTCAGGTCCCTCTGG